CACACACACACACACACACACACACACACACACACACACACACACACACACACACACACAATATGACATTTAAAAACAGAATTGTCTGTCTTTACTTTTTGGTGGTAAAATAAAGCAGCTTATATGGTAATAATCAGTTTGAAACATTTGTATAGTTTAAATAGCAGAAGAACAGAATCTGATCTGGTTTAACTCCAGCTTCTTATAATTACCTGAAGAGGTAAAACTTCTTGTTTGTTTGTGTCACTGTCTATGATTGTGAATTAGCCTGCGTTGTTTTGAATAACGTGCGTTTGAGCCGCAGCGATTTGTTCCTCGCCAGACAGTTAATCTCCTCTCACTGGCATCTAATAAGTCAAACCATCAAAAAGATTCATTTAAACCTCGTCAAACACCGAGGGACACACTTCAATTGACGGGGCACAAAAATGAATAGTGTGCTGCTTATTTGAAGTGATTACACTGGGTTTGTTCCCATCTGCCTCATGGGAGGAAGTGGTGTCCCTGGTGCAGATGCTGTTTGTCAGAAGTCAGAATAGTGGAGCAGCGAGCCAGGATGCAGCAGAGGAGATTCAAGCAAACTGAAATAGAACAATGGCTTTTCCAAGCCCGTATCCTATTTCTTAGGGAACAATGCTTAGTTTGTGGCACTTTTCCATAGACATGAAAGACAAGCCATGCTTCTTTAGTTCTACTTCGTACGCATTTTTGTGATATTTTGGTTCTGTTTGCTTTGAAGTGTTGGGGAAACGACACGCCTCTGCATAGCATCAAATGCTTCACTTATTTGAAAGGATTTGGGATGCGGATATAATCATTTAGTTCCAGACTGTGCTTCAGTGGCTGATATGTACAGTATATTTGAGATTATAGCTGCTGCCTCTCCGGCCTTTTTACCGTGAAACTTTGTGCAGCAGCAACAGCGGAAATGTTGTAAAACATTTGTGCACTTTTACATCCAATGTCCATTATACGTCAGTGTGATTTAAATGAAGTTGAAGACGTAAAACAGAGTCAGCGCTGGAGTGACTTGATAGCTCAAATCCTGTTCTCGTCTGCTTTGAGAAGACCCCCCTCCAGCTGAACTGTGATTTAAGGYGACTCCTCCTCCTCCACTTATTGTCCTTTGGCATGATTGTTTGTTGTCATTGTCATTTCCCCCCTCAGTTGCTTTTTGATCTCGGTTTATGGTCCCAGATGTTGGCGGAGGGGTGCAATCTCACAGAAACAACAGCTCTGTTTCTGATGTTCTCYGTGGTGCAGTTCTGCTAAAACAACAAACACAGATTATTTATTGTGGAACAGCAGAACTTTGACCTTGTGTTGTGGCTGGTTCTTCTTCTTTTAACTTAACTTGCCAAAATATACTCTTCATAATATTTAAGTTTTACAATTAAAGAACAGTTTTTCAGAGAGTTTTTCGATGCATGCCCTGCATGTAGAAGCTGAAAGATCTGCCTCACCACCTTTTGATTGCTGTTCGGGGCGAGGAGCCTACACCCTGCTTCGACTGCTGTAAAGTTAGGAGATGTGAACGAGTCAGTTCCCTGCAGGACCGGCACAAAAGCCAGTTGTGGGGTTTAGATGGCCCAAGTACAGCTTCTAAGCACCAATCAGAAGTGATAAAAAAAATAGGAGGAGAGAGCCAAAGGCGGCAAGGGGAGTGAGAGCTCCTCTGTAATTACAACATGGTCTTATAAAGCAAATACCAAGCCCTAGCAACCTCAGTTGGGGGACAGAGAAAAGAGGAGCGTGTGGGGGGTGGTCGTACTGGAGAAGAGGGGTAGAAAAAAATAGGCAGAGGGTGTTAAGAAACACCACAGAGAGCGACCCCGCGATGACCTCGGCTCTCCAACAATCGTCCCCTGCCAGCTGGAGCCAGGGTTAGGGGCGAGAGCGAGGGGCCGGGCAGGATCCCCTCCGATTTATGACTGACTATAAGGCCCCTGAAAGAAACCCAATCACCCGGGATTCCTGCGCAGCATGACTCTGGCTGCAGAGAATGGCCGGCCCAGGAGAGTGTGGGACAGCGGCCGAGCCAACGGCTAACACACAAGCGCTGACACAGAGGGCCACTTCACCAGGGGGAGGGCCACTGGCCACCGGCTCTATTATCCGCAGCTCTCCTCGTTGAGCATGATATCATTACAGCACGCCGACGGCAACCTCAAATTCAGCCCCAACTCATCCTCTGAACCCTCTTTGTCAAACACATTTCCCAACCTGGATTTACATGCATCGGGCTAATTGCTCTATCTGTCTAATTAGTAGAAATGTAATGGTTATTAAATTTCAACCTGCCATCATTGTGGAGCGGGAGAGAGGGGGAGCGAGAAAGAGAAGGCAGGCTGAGAGTAGGGCATGAAAAGAAAGGGAGAAGGCAGCTGTCTTTTAAAGCGGGGTAAGCCGYGCTCCGAGCTACCCCGCTGATCCATTAGCATATCTGAATGATCCTGTTCCTGCACCAGCCACCACCACGCTGCAAGGTGGCACATCTGAAGAACGCAGCCTTTGAGCGTGCTCGCGAGCTTGGGAAACTCTTATTTTTCAAGCCGTTTGAAAATCCGGAGACAACTTGATGTTTGAGAAGTCGACAAAAATAAAAGGAGGAGAGAAGAGGGGAGAAGAAGGGAGAAAAGTTTCAGATTTTCAGGAGGACAGAGTTTTACAAGCTGTTTGAAGCTGGATGCTTAATAATTCACTTGATGCTACATGCAGCAGTAAGGCATCTTGGAAACACACTCGTGCGCGACAACAGTTTTTACTGGCTGCGTGCTGTCAACACAAAGTGTGTCACAACCTCTGGTTTAGGAGACACAATGGTGAAAAAAATTGGTTTCAGGGGTCCTCAAAAGTAAACCCACTTTGCAAAGAATTTACATTACCTTTATAATATATACTTTATTTCCCCAGTTTAACCGAATGGAGTATAACTGTGACCACATTGACAAGCTAACTGCTAAACAATGCTAAAGCTAATTATCTTAAAACAACTACAATTTGAAAAATCATTGCAGTTCATGCTAATGCTGTTCATGCTTTGTTACACCGCCATCAGTTTCACAGTACAAAGTTAATTTGAGCACAAAACGGTGTAGCGCATTTCCAATGCAACCTGGATCACTTTTAGCAGGAATATCAGAATATTTCTGTCAAAACAAATGTTTAAGAAATTGAGGTGATGTAAAATGCTGAAAATGGCCTTGACATGTTTGTTTTTCTATGAAGTTTTGACACTGGACTTGTTTTAAGATGGATTTGGCAACCAACTTTGATCTTGGTCACATTCATTGTTTTGTCAATTTTATTTTTGCAAGATGAGGTTGTGCAAATATCTATCTATCATAAAGCAGTCGAGAAGCAAGTTTGGTCTTTGTTTCCATTTGGTTTACTTGTTCATTGACACTAAAATATTGGTTATTTTAGGTCATTTAAAAGATAGTTCGGGGTGAGATGAAATTCACATTTTTTACTATGAGACTTGGAAGTAAACAGTGCAGAATTTGAAACGTACGAAGCAGTTATCCCATTTTCTTTGGTAAATGTGTCAGAGCTTAGGGATTTTTCTTTTTTTCCTCCCTTGAAGTTGGTCTCCCCTCAGCCACAAAGCGGGTCTCTATTGACTGATTCCAGGGAGCGTATTGATGGTTCCATAATTTGGGCATAGGAACACAAAAAGACTGACCCCCGCTGGGCTCAGCACGACAGCCCAGTCAGCAGGGAGGCTTGCATTTATTAGCCTGGGAGAGGAGCTCCTGCAGAATTAAAGCACATTCACCCACCCATTGATCTCTGTCATGAAAACAATGCTAGGCTCCCTCACTGGCAGGGAGCTAGGCACGGCGCGCTCTGAGGTAATTCGGCAGCCATAGAAAACAGGATGGCTCACACCCTCAGGCTCTGAGCAAACTATTTAAAAAGTGAGAGGGATAGGATGAAAAAAGACATATTAGATTATCAATCCACCTGTCCAACTGTATTATGCTGGGAGCTGGGATGAGCTGTGGCTGACCCTGTTGTGTTTGTGCTCATCTGTGGAGCCAAAATAACACTTTTTTATTTCTCTTTTTTTTGTTGAGTTGTGGCTTTATGCATCTCCAGAGGAATCAGAAACTAAATTTTCACTCTTTTTTTTCTGAAAAGTTACCAGTGSATTTACAAGTTGCTTGCTTCTAACAGTTGTCTTTGCCTGATTATTAATTTTAACATTATATGATCACGTAGTTGCACAGCTTCAGGAGTTCTTATCTGCTGGTCAGTGAACATGAGTAAAACATATGGGCAAAGGTTCACAAGAGCGATGTGTTCCAACCCCCACCATTTTAGTTTCTGTTAATCCACTGATAAAGGCTTTCATCATCTCCAAAAATACCAGGGAGTCAGTCACAAGACAGGCTCATGCCTTTAAATACCTGCTATCTGTGAGGGCGCACATGAACTGGTGTACTTGAAAGCATTTCATGCTACAGCAGCCCCACAGAAGTTCAGTTGAAATGAGTTGATTGGTTGATGTTTTGAATTGCAGACCCTTTTTTTGGGAAACACATGAAATGATCACATGTGTTGAGGAGGTTTCATCAGAAAGGGCCATGCTAAAACGTCTCTCCTCTCCCTTTGTGTTGATGTGTACACAACCCTGACTCTTGACCTGAGGAACTCGCAAGGCTTTGATGCCACCTTCAGTGGCCAGCGCCTAAAGGGAGGAAGGCGGTGTGGACCGTCCGGTCAAGTCCTCGCACACAGGCCAGTGGTGTCAACACAAAACACGAGAAGAAAGAAAATGTCACACTTCACACATAGCTGAAAGGAGCAGCGCATCTCATTATGCCACCTACAGCTGCTTTTGTCAGCTGRGGCTTGATGTGTGGAAGGGAAGTGCTCAGGGAGACGCCGTGGCCTGGTATGGGGCCTGCTGCTGCC